CATTGAAAGTTTCACTTATGTTATTGTCAACTACATCACATCTTCAATAGGTATCAAAAAATGCCTTGCACCAGAATTTTGGATCCAACTTCATCAAACTATCTTTTACTACATGCTTTAATTTATTGAGCTCTTCAAGATTCCTCTTAAATTTTGCTGCATTTGTTCGTTTGGTAGTGATCCAAAACCATCTTTGCAATGCCTTACCCTTGTGTTCCTTTCTAAAATTTGCATAAATATGCTTAGCATATCTTTTATGATGTGCTTTTAGGAACAAATTGTAGATGGCATTAATTAGCTCCTACAAAATGGAAAAAGATAAATGACTTTCTTTAATCATTGCTTGCACAAGTGTATAGTTCAACAATAAAATATAGGAAATTACCTTTTACTAATCAAATACAAAAGTGCAACATTCTCCATCACCAATTTTGAGATCAAGTTTCAAAACTCCAAGAACCATGTCCTTACGCTTTCACCCTCCACAATGGTTGAAGCAATTGGATACATTTGATTATTGGCATCCTTTTCAACTGTAGATAATAATTGACCCTTGTAAGGATGTTTTAGATATGCACCATCTAAACCAAGTATTGGTTTACAACCAACTATAAAATCTTCTCTCAGTACAATAAAGTAGACATAAATTCGTAAGAAAGCATATTTAGAATCTAGTGTAAGCCTCCTTACATCAATCTCAAATGTAGAAGTAGGATTCTTTTTTAGTAGCTCTAATTTGTAATCAAATATCTTCTTGTATTCTTGTTGACAATTACCTTAAAACTTTGACAATAAGTAGTTTTGTCTTTCTAGCTTGACTCATTATGATCTCAAGATTCAGTTCCTTATGAATTGATTCTTGGATATTGATTTTGGAAAAGTGTAATAGCTGAAATGCCCTTTATCTTAGTGGAGTGTCTAGCTAAAATTCTTGATTTAACCTTCTTGTTTTTCTAACTCAAACCATGCATATGTTCTTATATGTTCTTATCATCCCACTTCTTGTCTTACCATCAATGGACAATAGCAAAGCCTAATTGCACATATTATCTGCATATATAGCCCTAACTCTTTTTTTATCATTCTTTTTCAAGATTGTTTCTCGTCTCATGTAAATAGATTTTGCTAATACAACATCTTTAAACTACTTCTTGCTCAAAAAAATCATGCCTACTGCAAACGCTAAATTGATTGTGGAGTCATCAAACACCTTGTATAGTTATTGCCTTTTTCTTACTTCCTCTACCTCATGATCATCATTAATGGTAATAAAACTGACCTTATCATTAAAATCAATTGAATCATTTAATCTATCATCAACAAATGCTTCAATTGGATCAAATAAGACCTTTTTTATATCAGCATCATCTCTATATAACTTAACACTATCCTTGTACTTATTCCTTATTGCTTGCCATTCCTTATCTTCATTGTTAATTAACTGAGGAACATCAATATACTCATCACCACTAATCACATCTTTCTTCAGTTCTTCCTTTCACATTATATCTAGTATTTTGTCCCATAATTGGTATTTGGATCTCTTAAGCAATACAACCAAAACCATCTTCCCATTCCAAATCAACCCTAGATGTATGCAAATTTGCTGAACCATTATTCCAATGAGAGGGCCCACCTTTCGTCACTTGTTTCTCAATTTTAGATTCATGTTAAACATAGACCTCTATATACCCATGATACATTACTAGTTCAAACATGTCAGCAATTGAATCATCAAAAACAATTAAAACAAGGCCATTACCAAGCTTCTTCACATGATGTTTATACCATACAAAATCTATCATGCTATCTATCTCAAGGTGCAAGCCTTGCAATTTCTCTCTAAAAACAAGAGGTTCAAAACTACTAGGTTTGAGCCATATGCTATGAAAGTATCTCTGAGATGTTGAATCTTTGGGTCCCTAACAAATTTATCCCTATAATTTAGGTATATAACATATTCAATGAAATCGACCATTTCATTGCACCTACAAAAATAAGAGACCACAAATTTAAAAAAAAAAAAAACAAAACAAAAACAAAAGAACAAATTCACAATAACTATTTCATTCTACAATGAATGACTTGAGATTTTCATGTTTTGGGGGATAAAGATAAAAGAGGGCTAACAATATATGTTAGCCAAATGGACTAGTCACATGATGGGCAACCAAGTGAGAAAATTGCCACCTTTTCTTTCCCTTTTCTTCTTTCTTTCTCCCCTGTCTTACATTTTTTGCAAGTTTTTTTGTTGATTAGTATCTCTACAACCCGAGAGAGAGAGAGAGAGAGAGAGAGAGAGAGAGAGAGAGAGAGAGAGAGAGAGAAAGAAAGGGTCTAAGCAAGTAGGGCAACAACATGGGCAAAGTGGTCCCCATTTTTAGCATAGGTGGCTGCACATATGGCAGTCCATGTGGAAAAAAATTCTAACAAATGATTTGATTGCTAATCATTTAGGAATTAACAATAAGCAATGATGGCAACATGAACAACGTCAGGAAAAGGATGACAATGAATAAAAAAAGAAGAGTTGAGCGATGCTGTCTGGCTCTTTGCTGGAGTAGAAGGATGACAATGAACAAATCCTTGGTAGAGGGACGAGAACGAATAACATTTCAAAGTATAAGGATGACAATTGGCTTTAACCTTTTTCTAAAAAATTTTTCCATTCAAAATGTTTTGTTTGAGTATGTAAAATATGTGTTCAATAAAATAATATTGATATAACTTTTGATATAACTCTACTTAGAAATATATATCGAAAGGAAAGTGTTTTATTAAGTGTTTTATTTAAAGATTAAATATTTAAAAAATGAGTTTATATAAAATAATATTAATTATGGTGATATGACAATAAAGTGAATTTTTTCTTATTCTCTATTATGCATGCTCTTACAAGCAAATTTTGCAAAACTTTAAGAGATAAAATTTCTTTGACAAAAAGTGCAAATAAAATATGAATTTTTTTAATATTTTTAATTTGTTAACTTTATTTTTTTTTATTTAAGAATTAATTACATAATAATATTTACATGGAAAAATACTTTTTAACTATTCAATTAATTCTTAAATAAAAAAATATAAAATTAATATTTTTAAATAAAAAATAACAAAATTTATATTTTTATATACTTTTTTTTATTAAGAATATCTTTACAAGCAACTTTGAACAATAAAAAGCTTAGCTAAACAGCCACTTAGATAGGTGGTAGAAAATGAATGAAAAATATCGTAGATTTTATGTTTAAAAAAAAATATATCATAGATTTTTAAAAGAGATGTTTTTTCATAATATAAGTTGTGTATACAAACCCAATCTCTTAATTATAATTACTGGAACTTCAGGGGGAAGATCTAAAATTTTAAATCAAGAGGCAATTGAAAAGGACATTTACCCCAGTTAGTCGTTGAACAAGGAATCATCTGGCCGGTCAAACCTCGAGCCCCACGTGTAAAGGAGTTCTGACTAAGAATCAGACAGAATCCAAATTTGACTCACAGTCATTTAAGAGCTACGTGAAAAAAAAAAAAAAAAAAAAAAAAA